ATAGTTTTTCTTGCAGTGCCCTGCTAATCCAAACTGAAACTGCGAGGGATTTTCACCGCAATTCGGTAGCCGGCAAGTAGCTGGATGAAGTACGTAGGTTGCGGCAGGTCAGTGCTCTCTGGCCATGTGATTAAAACGCTAAAACGCAGACAATCATAAATATCAAATGCGCCATATTTTAGGGTCTCTGCGGTCCCTGTGGGTTTCTGTTGTTGTTGTTGTTGTTGTTATTGTTGTTATTGTCCCCAAACGATAAAGAGGGGAACTTGGGACCGCCGACCAGAATGGTTTCACTTTTGTTTGAGCGACACCTGGCTGCGAGCGGAGCGGCCCATGACTCACAGTGTTATCCAGCAAGAAAAGCGATGGAGACGGAGACGGAGAGGTAGACCCAAGCCAAGTCTCAAAAAAGTGCATCATAAATTATTTTAGCTGTGCCCGCTTGCCTCAGCTCAGCCCAACTTTTATTTTTCTTCTAAGCATTTTCATTTGCCAAAGTAGTCACACGGTCAGCTTGGCGGAGGGCAGAGATGGTTTTCGAGGGGGAGATTTGCGGATCTGGTGATCTGGGGAGCGGACCACATTTGTCGCCAGCCCAAGCGAAATCGAAATTGAAATTGAAATCCTGGTTCAGCCCCAGCCCCAGCCCCAGCCCCAGCCTCAGTCGAGCGATCCAAACGGATCGGCAGCCGCACTTTGGTCACGAATGTCGGTCAAACGTGTTTGGTTTGCTATTTTACAACTTTAAATATGCCAACAATGGCCAAAAGCCACAAAGGCATAGTATCCACACAGCCCCTCCCTCCCTCCAACACCACCCCCTAAAGAAACTGCCACATCCTCTACCTGGGCCACATGCATGCCTAATTTGTGTGCATATTTCTCGGGGGATTATCACTGTCACACTCCCGCCACCAAGTCTCGAATCAGCCACGATCTCTGCCTCTTTCCCGGGCTCCAATTACGATCCGATGTGGCTGCAGCTCTGTGGCACATGGGAAGGCTAATTTTAGGGTAAAACTGTGTAGTGAGTTTGAGGTGAAGAATGACAGGAATTCTAAAGGAATCACTCTTCATATTTCTAAATATGTATCGTTTATATACATCTTACTTACTGCTTGATTAACAGTTTAGATTGGTAGCCATTATGTTAAATAACGCTTTTACATTCTATCTCCCGAAGGAAAAAGATTAGATACAGATATCTTAGCATGCAACTTCATCAGAAAGTCTTTATTTCTTTATTTTCTGACCACTTAAAACCTTAAACGTAGCTAAACTTCACCTAACCAATCTATTTATATTTAAATCTATTACTTTAAAACTTAACTTCCAACTTAGTTATTTCCACAGTAAACCCAACTAACTTATTACTTTTTTTTTTAGCTTCCCCATATTAAATTACCAGAGGGACAGGCAAAACGTCGTTTGTCGGCAATTTCCCTTTCACCAATTTAAGCTCTTCCTCTCATTAATATTTTGCAATGTTTTCTTGGCAGTTGCTTATTAAAATCAAGTCATATTTTCACAGTCTGTTGGCTGTTACACTTGTAAGCAATTAGCCAAGTTTGCTATGGGAAAAGAGAAAATGCCAGCAAGCAGCGGGCAGGAAAATTGATAAAACCAAGGCAAAGGCAAAGGTAACTTAGTAGAAAATTGAAATCCCTTTGAGAACCTTAAGAAGTTTCCTTACTATATAGGCTAACACCTTTAAAGGAAGTCATTCCGATGACCCAATTTTTAATGGACTGCCCTATCGCGATTTCATCTCTGGCATTTCCTTTTCGTCCCATTACCCATACGCCGTGTTGCGCCATCATGAAAGGCAAAGGAGTTGTAAGCTGGTGGGGGGGGCCAAATCATGAAAACTATTTAGCCCACAAACAAATTTCTCACATAATTCACAAAACGCCGTAATACGGAAGCCGTTTCTAGTTGCAAATTTCACTCGGCTGATAAGTCGCCAGGCAAATTTGCAGCACTCAAATTTGAATTTCATGTCCCTTTTATCGGTGCGACTATCTAACGCTTAGCGGTTCAGTTCAGTTCGTTTTCTTTTTAGTTTTAGTTAGTTTCTTTTTTTTTCAGGGATTTTTAGCTTTGGTTTTTGGCGTGTCTGTTGGCCCGGCTAGAAGTGGTGGCCATTGTTGGCTTGGCAAATTTGCCTGGCCATAATAACGGTTCGTGCTGGGGGGTTTTTCGCCTTATTGGGCGGTCGCGGTTCAATGGATTGATGTGACTCTGTGTGAACAGCCGAGTTTTCTTGTGCTTTTCTTGTATTTTTTGGCCACCGCAAAGTTATAAAATATAGAAAATTATGCGCATCGGCTACTGTGGCTGCGCCATCAAAAGCGGCGCCGAAAGTCGGCTCGAGTCGGATCGGTTTGGGCTGTTGCCTGGCACTTAACACCTTTTTGACACACAGCCAGCGACGTCAAATGCAAATGAAGATAAATCGCTGCCTCTGATCTTTTTAGCACCTTTTTGCATACATTCAATCCCCCTTTGGAGTCCAAGGAAAAGCCAAAGTCTCCCAGAGCTACGGTGACAGCGCCACGAACATGCAACATTTTGTCGCCAGTTGTACAACTCCCCTGAATGCTGCCGAATGCCAAATGTTGCTGCCATGGCAATGTTGCACACTGCTGCTGTTGGCCACTGCCTACGACTTTTGCTTTGGCGATTATGATGGCAACCCAGCCCAGGCTGTGCAGCATCAGCAGCTGTAATACCCTCTAAGGGGATTATAAGATTTTAACACCTACCTGGTAGCTATCAATCTTCAAAGATGTTCGCTGATGTCTTGGAAAAGTGCGTTAGGAAAACGAAAGAGGTTTTGGTGGGTTATTAATTGATTTTACTTTTTAATAACATGGTTTTTCAAGTTTTTTTTAGATTTATATACTTAACGTTACAGTTTATGGAACATTTAAGATGTTACAAACTTACATTCCATCTTAAATGTACTGAAAAGTATCTTTATCCAGCGTATCTAATCTTCTATTTGTTAACATAACATAACCTTATGTTTCTGGGGTTGCCAATAAGGTCAAGGGGGGAGCCGTATATGCAAGAGGTGTTGGTTGCAAAAACTTAAGCTTTTCACTGCAACACACATACACACACACACACATATGCACATTTGGCAATCAGAAAATTATCAGCCTGCCCCACTGTTGTTGTTTTTTGCTTTTTTGCTTGCCAGAGTGGGACCGTTGTCATTGTTGTTTTGGTTGTGCTGCTGCATTGCAGACTTCAGACTTCAGACGGATGAGGAAGTTTTTTGGTCTGGGCTGCATTTGTGGCATGCTACCGCCAACTATCGGCCCGGCGACTATCGGCAGCTTGTCGCTTTTTTCTCTTATTTAAATTACGAAATGTTTTGTCAACAATTTGTCCACTGATTTATTGGCTTTTGTGGCGCTGCAAGCTACTTGCAACATGGCATACAGTGCAACCAACAGCAGTACAGGACAATAGCCGCGGCTAATCGCAGTTGCCAGTTATCAGCTGGCTGAGTGACAGGTGCATAAATTGCATTTAAAATCGAAAGTTGGGCAGACGCCCAGAATGAAAGTGAACGACGTGCATCCATTAAATGTGTGCCACTCATGTGGCACTACCATCACCACCACCACCACCACCACCGCCACAAGTTGGTGCATTGACTTGGTGCTCTGTACTGTGCACTCTGCACCACGGCAGTCGCATTCGCAGCTGTCCATCAGAGAACTTTCGATTTCGATTGCGTAGTGCGTCAACTCGAAGACTTTCCATTGTGGCGTTTGTTGAACCGATCTCGGGTGCAGTGAGAAAAAATCATATACATTAGGTCATTCATTTGATATTTACTTCTGTAACATTCTAAGATTTCATTTTGAGGATAAAAAGATATAGTTTCAGCACCTTAACATCATTTGTCAGATTGATTTGGCTTCGTAAGTCTCCAAAAGAAGGATACCCGTAATGTTAGGTATTTGCACTTTTATCTATTTTTCTCCTTGTGTGGCGACTAAGATCACAGACGTAAGGAGGGTCAGGAACTGGGACTGGGACTCGGACAACAACTGCCACAGATCGCACAAGAAACACATATTTCGTAGCTTTTTCGTTCGGGTTTGAAGTCTCTGTGAGTGACACACAATTGCGTTTTTTGCGCATAGTTCCGTATTTGGTCAAAGATAATGATGTGAAATGCACCAACAACAAAAACAACAACAACTACAGTATATCCCCAAAAACAACGACGACAAAGGCGAAACGACAGCGACAACAAGGCAATCACCCACTCAAAAATCGTTGAGGAAAAATTGCCAGGCTGACGCGAATCGTCCATGTAAATGAGTGAAAATGTTTTAACTTAATTCTGTTTATGTGCGATCACGTGAGGCCTGTTTAGTTAGCCAGGTTAAGAGAGTTTCTCTTGCTACTAAAAAAAAGCAAAAGTTTAGTAATAATTAACTTTTGTTATATGTTTATGTCCTGACACGATGATTTTATTTGAATGTAACGGCCGTTATGTGCCTCTCGTTAAGTGTCTCGTATCTAGTTTGTTCTTAGTTCCGTAATTTCTCATGTTATGCTGAGAGTGAGAACAAATTATTTGAACGATATGTCAAGAGTAAGTGAGAGAAAGCTATCTATTGCGGTACGTAGTCCCTTGAGATCCTTAGTGAGTGGGAGTGAATGGGATGACGATAGTGAAGCAGGCGAATTGCGCAGCTGAATTACACGTCACAAAAAAATAAGAGGAAGAAAAGAAAAAAGGCAGTCATTCAAAAAGGAAGCTCAAAAGAACTCAGGGTGTAAACCTGAATAAATTATTTACTAAAATGAAAGCTAAATTTTTTGAGGTTTGGAAAACCGAATCCTGCGCATGCTCCCAGATTGCCATGACAGACTTGGAGTTTTTTAGCTTTTAATACAGAAAAAAAACAAATAAACAAACCAATCCGGGAGGAACTTTTTCCAGAGGAATCATATAGTAAAAGACACTAAACATGTCGGCCACGGAAATGGAGATGCCGGGCAAGCTAGAGGCGGAGACCGAACCGGAGGTATTGCCCGGGGAATTGGAAATACCGGATGCTTCTGCGTTACCCTCTTCTCGGCGCAACAAACCCTATTTTAAGAAGTTCAAAGAGCCGGAGTCCGATGAGGAAGTGGGGGATCTGCGCAATCTGTTTAATATTCAGGAGTCATGGCGAACCCTTATGTCGCTTGGCAGTTGCCAAAAGGTCATGGTTTCGTAAGTTATCAAACTAATAAAGTGATACCCAATCTTATAATAGTTTCTTTATAGGGAGAAGGCTCAAAAGACCCTGAAGATCGAGGTGGGCGTCAATGTGACTCAAGAGTTCCCATGGAAACAGATCCAGTACAAGGATCTACGGGATGTGCTCTTCGACGAGTTGGAGAACTCGGCAGAGCTGTTGAAGAAGTTCAAAAACTTCAATCCTGAACACTTTGTTCTGATGGGCTTTTGTCCTTTACTGACCGAGCAGGAGGACGATCCACCCGAGGGTGAACCCTTCATATTCTACTCCAGCATCAAAGAGTCCAAAATGGCACTGAGCATCATCCAGAATATGGAGCGCTTTGATCGTTGGCGGATGCAGCGTCGTCTCCGAAAGAAACCCCGCAGATGGGTTAGTCAAGGAACTGATGCCGAGATGACGATCATGGTGGAACGCTTCAAGGATGAGCCCATCGACGTGGAGATCCAGAGTGTGTATCCCATTCAGGTGCCGCGGCACATAGCCTTCGATTACCGGTTGAGCAAACATGTCAGGGATGGCTTTATCGAGCTCTTACCCAACGAGAATATTAAATGGGAAAATGTAACCAAGAAGAGAATCACCGTATCGGTCCAATCTGCTCCTCCTAAGATTGATAGAGAGCAGCAAACGAATCCCACATTTCCATCCAACGCCTGGTCACAATATCTCTATGAAATTGACGATGAAGGTGGGTTCTTGGTGATCCAGTTTTAAGGTTAACTAATTTTGATCTCACCTATAGACCTCGAGCTGGATGAAACGGATGTGGACGAAGAGGAGGAGAAGAAGAAGGCACAAGCTAAGCCGGGAACTTATGTGGAGCCCGAAAAGAAACCACCCGAAATGTCCGAACAGATCGAAATGCTGCTGAATACTCTGGATTTTAACCAGATCGACAGTTATCGGTGGGTTATCTCTATTATTATTATCTACTTGTGACAGTTAAGAACCAGTTTCTATCTCGTCTCAGTGATGACTATTCTATGATATCCTCTCGACAAGTGGTCCAGTATACCAATCCCTACCTGCAGGAATTCCTTTGCTTTGCGAACATCTCCAAGAGCAATAAGCGCTTCGTAGCTGGCTATGATTGGTACCCAAAATTGTCTGGACTAATCGCTGTATCGTATGCCTTTAGTACTCCAGCTACTGTAAATGAGGCCAGCAATCGAGTGGACTACGTTCAGAGGGCTGTTCTAGAGCCCAATCCTGTACTCCTGTGGAGCTTCTCAGATAACCTTAACTATAAGTTAGAGTTCGAGGCTCCGATAGAGAATACCGCTCTGACTTTTTGCCCGTTTAACGGGGATCTCTTGTTGGGAGGCAGCAAGAATGGCCAGGTGGTGTTGTGGGACTTGCAGGGACGAGGCGACAGGCTGGATGAAGAGGAATATTTGACGGCTGCCCAGGCCAAGTACCGCATCATGATCGGAGAGTTTCTGAATTGGACCATTGACATAGAGGACAATGTCATCCCACCGACCACCATTTCCTCGTTGGACTGCTCACCGAAAGGTGCCATCACTTCATTTTATTGGTTAGGTCGTTCCATATATCTAAGTCAATTTGGCAAGGTTTATAACGATCCGGATACCCGGAATCACCATAAGTTCTTTGTCACTTGCGCCTTTGATGGCACCATTAGCTTCTGGGATCTCGATGGAGCGGGAGGAAAGGGAAAGGAAAAGATGCGAAATCGTATGCTTCCCAAGGAGCTGACCCAGAGCGAGTCTCCTTTTAAGTCGATGGCCATTAAACCCACCTATAATCTCAATTTCCCGGAACCACTGACTGGAATCATAGCGGACACCTCGTGCTTCTCGTGTTTAACACCAGTTCCTAAGTTGATACACGCTAATCCCTCAAATTACCCCATTAAGTTGATACCCAAGGATCCACCTACAATGCGCCAAAGTATGATAGTTTCCACTTTCTATGGTCATGTCAGCAGGATTGATTGGCAAGGCACCTATGTGGAAGGGCAACCATCCGAGCTGATCAATAGTTCGATTCCTTTTGCCATGGTACATAATGGACCAGTAGTGATGATGAAAAAGAATCCTTTCTATCCTGAGTTATTCGCCTCCATTGGGCGTACCATCTTGGCCATCTGGAAGGAGGACTATAACTATTCACCTATATTTTGGCGGCAAAGAGCATGTGACCTCACCGCCGTCGCCTGGAGTGAAACTCGTCCGGCTGTGTTGTATCTGACCAGGAGTGATGGAATTCTCGAGGCGTGGGATATATTGGGTAACCTAACATTAGCCTTTTATATTCGGATCTTAACACATTTTCTCCATAGCTCGCGATGATGACGCCTGTCTGACTGAGATCCTTGGGGGTGGCATCATTACTGGGATCACTGAGCATCGCCCCTCACTTCCTTACAAGATCTTGGGCATTGGTGACTATAATAGTAGCATAAGGATGGTCAAGTTGCCGCATTCCTTCGATGTACCGCTGCCCAATGAACTTCAACAGCTTGTGAACTATGTACTTAAGGAGGAGCGCCGTAAGGTGGGCATTCAGGCATGGGAACAAAAGTACTACGAACTCAACAAGGACATCATCGAGGCAAAGCGAGAGGCGGAGGCGGAAACCCGGAAGGAAATGGAGAGAATTGAAAAAGAGCAGCAATTGGCTAGCATGAAAAAGGGCCACAAGTCCACTGAAGAAGGTGGTGGAGGAGGCGAGGAGGTCAAGTATGTTATATATATAGTAACCATAGCTAATGATTAATCCCAACTTCTACTATCCAGGACCAAGAAGACTTACAGTGGCCTCAACTACAATGAGAAAATGGCTGTGATGTGGGACGAACTGAATCTGAACCGGATGATGACCATCCTGATGTCACGCAAACAGATGGATCCCGAGAAATTGGCCAGAGAGACGGCACTGGAGAAGGAGAGGCATGCCTACGAGGCGGCCAAAAAGAAATCCCATTCGGATGTCTTGGCCAGGGTGGATAATGAAATCGCCACCCTTCGAGCAAGAATCTTGCCTGCCGAGATTCAGGACATGCAGCGCAGTGAGATGATCGCGGAACGTGTTAAACGAGAAGTGGAAAACGGGCCCACCTATGAAGAGGTGTGCGAAGATTCCTTTGAGATTCTGGGCATGTTTAATGAGTTCAAGCCGATAGATTATATTGAGTTCCTGGAACGAGGTCGTCAGAGGCGTCGCCTATTGGATCAGTCCTTGGGTGGCAATACCGATCGACTGCTGTGGTTTGAGGAGAAGTTAAAGTTGGGAGAACTGGGCGAATGTCAGTTCGGTTATGAAACTGTTACTGGAAGTCAGGCGGAGGAGGCGAGTCAACACGACTATACGGCGTCTCAGCTTCCGTTGTCCTCATCGGACAGCAATATTATAGAAGAGGTCGATGCGTAATAGTCTTCTAGTCCTCCTTAAAGGTGGTTAAATGTCAGTTAAATAAATATTTGTCAAAAATCAAATGAACTTTCAATCTCTCTCATTTTGTTTACCTTAAATCAGTATTAAAAGTAAATTCCTAACCATAAAATATAACAAGCCTTTTCTTAACAAGAAAGTTAAAACCCAGTAAAAATTCCAACGATGTTTAAATAAAGATTTATGTGTTGATTTTGGATGCTTTTTTTATGGCCATTTTTATACTTTATTTATTTGCATAAGTCATAGTTAAGTTTTTGATGGTGTTTTCCCTCTATTTTTACTACACCCGCTAGCCATTTAAAGTGACCCACCCACCGCCATGCTAAACGGTTGACTGCCTTTGGCCGTTTGCCAAATAAAATTCGGCTCTCAATTAGGGGCCCGTTGAACCTTGAAGCCCGGCTTCCGCTCGACGGCTCGACGGCCAGCTGGTGGGTTCAAGTTTATGACATTTCTAGGCATTTGTGTGCACAAATGAAGTCATCTCGCTGACGAGGCGCGCCCCGAGTTTAATGAACCTGCCCCGTCTAACATAATGGTGAAAAAAGAAAACCTCCTCGGATCTCCATGCCAAGCTAGGGGAATTCCCACGACCAATACTCTGGTCACTACACTCCAAAGTACTCCAACTCTGGGCTCCTCATTCAGCTTGGGTTAAATGCAAACCGACAGAGGCAGTCCATCATTTTCGCAAGCAGATAATGATATACATTTCGGAAGCAATGCATCTGAACTTTACCATAATTTCGAGTGCATTATTATTGGCCAGCTCTGGGCAGTTGGATGTAATGTTGGTGCTGGCGGTTTTCTGTTGCATCATCATCGCCGCTGCCAACCGACCACCTGTTGTCCTTAAAGCGATAAGTATTAAGTGATTTCTGGACAGCCGCTCTCGGAGTTTTCCTTTTTTTTCTTTATTTATTAATACAAATTTCATGCGCTTGCGTGCGTCTGCAACTGAGGCAAGTGCATTTACATAACAATTGGCCTTTGAATTCAAATTGGCAGCGGGCTGGCTTGGCTTTGCTTTTCGCCTTGTCCATCGAATCGGGCTATACTGGCGAGACGGCATTAAAATCTCTTTACCGCCATTTAAAATAATTTACGATCTTATGCAAATCGCCGCTTTCGTTGCACTAGCCCCCCCAAAAAAAAACTTGCCACCGTGACTCGACATAATGCTCGTCGGCCAGAAATTAAACGCACACATCGATTATTCACGCCCATTGTGCTGCGTTTAACAATAACTCAAAAGTGGAGTCCCGCCACAGGTGTCATGCCGATATGCCAAGCTCATATGGGATCCTTGAGCGTTTCGAAAAGCTAATTTTTGTGCCTGTTATAGATTCGGGAACTTAAGATAGAGTGGAAACTCATGTTACATCTTAAACCTAAACCAGATATCTGATAGCTAGATGGTGCAACAATATATATTTCATAAGTTTATATTTTGATGGGCATGAAGACCTGAGGACACGGATGATTTTTACTCATTAATGATATATCTTTTTGTATAAAACATCAACCTAATCCCCTTCTTTACACTCACAGAATCCCTCGAGACGTTTCGCCAATTGCTTGCAGGATTCCCTTTGCCCAGGGTCACTGCTCTTGGCCAACTCTCTTACCAACTCCAGGATGCTGGTCAAAAAGCTGTTGAATTCCTCTTTGTACTCATCAACGCCATTTTCAAATTCCTTTGTAGTTCTATCCTCTTTCGGAGATTCCACAAAGCCACAAAAGTTGAGGCACACATGGCCCAGGGTGAATATAGCCTTGACAAAGGTGTTGGCACAGGGAAGCAGTCCAAGTCGGACACATTCATCCACGGTGGTTTCAAGCTTATTCACAACCTCGTCGATAGTTTGGGCCGCGTCCACCATTAGGAGCAACGATTGCCAACGTGGTTCTGCGATGTCCTGGATGATGTGGTGCTCAAAATGCAAGATACACATTAGCATAAGCTGACGGAGATCTCCGGGCTGCTTGGTAAGTTTAAGACTCTTGCCCTCAGATGGATTTTGCCACAGGACTGTCAAGTGGCGTTTCACATAGTGAAGGAAAAGCAGAACACGCTGGAGGATTTGCAATTGCTCCATGAACTCTGGGTAAAGTACAAAGCTCAATGGCCATTTGGCTTCATAGCGAAGAGCGAATGATTCGTAACCATAAAGATTAAGAACTTCTGGTGGGTCCTCCTCGGCAGAGCTCTCCTTGTCCTGACCTTCTCCTGCGGATTTACTAACCTTATACCGCTTTGTCATCTGTGTAGCCACATCGCAGTCTTTAAGTTGACAGCGCAGCAAGTCTTTGAAGATATCATTGGATTTCTGCTGGGTCTCAATAAGCAGGGTCTGTAGTTTCTCCGGGATCAACCTATCTACATTGCACTTCAGTTGCTTCTCGCATTTGTCAAACAGAGTCTCAGAGAATCCCACCTGCTGCAACAGGAAATAGGATCTCAAATTGCGAATATGCAAAGGCAGATTATGTTCCTTGACTAAGACATTCAGAAGTTGTTTTGCCGGAAGATCATAGCTATTTTTGATGATCTCCTCGTGGCCTGTCTCGCCAGGCTTATAGGAAAGTGAGTTCTGCAGCAGCGTCATGGTCACATTACATTGGCGCAAGATATTCAGGTACTTCCCTGCTAGATACACTTCATCTGCCTGGGAAAGCAAAAAGGCTGGCAAGCGTTCCGGCAGAAGGCGGTACCGTTGGGCCCAGTAGGCGTGGCAACATTTCTCGGGCGTCAATAGAGTACTGCTCATTGCATTCGATCGTTCCGTGTCCTCCACAAAGAACTCATGTTGTGTATCGTAAAGGACGCCTTTCTGCACCCATAACTGAACAATCTTCATGTAGGCACCAGATACAATAGTTATAATTTTGGTCACTCTCTCCCTTAGATCCTGTTCGGTATCCTTCGTATCAGAGTGATACTGACTGAGCAATGTCAGTAACTGGGCGCTGTTCAACTTTCCACGAGAACTACAGACCATGCTGGAAAAGATCTTCAAGATAGACAACCAAGGACGCACCTGTCGTACCAGTTCCTTCAGATTCAATTTCTTTTCCTGCAAATTTGTTTCCAATTTGGACTGCAGATCATAGTACTCCTGCATTTGGTCAGCCAAAGCGGAGGCCAAAGCCAGTCGAGTTCTTCCACAACTCGGCGTCGTGTTGGTCTCCTCTATAAAGCTGCAAACACTGATATAGTAACCGATCAGGGGTAACACTTCATTGGCCATTGATCGGAAGGCTCCATTGAATGCCTCATTCAAACGAAAGCGCACCTTGGCTATATCTACTGAACGCATTTGCGAAATCTGATCGATATGTATATCGGGCTTAATATACGATGAGGGTACTCCCGAAAACGCATAGATTAGATCCCTCATCAGCAACTGTTCCTGACGCGGCAGCGACAATTTAGCCAAATCTTCATTGGGCAGAAAATACCCTCCTACACTATCAAAGATCCATGAATCTTGCCGTGGTAATCTATTGTTTCCACTTCCAGATTGTAGGTTCTTGTCTTCCAGAGATTCATTCTTATGGATTTTCTTCATCTGACGTTCCAACTCATCCTGGCTCAGGTGAAAGCGAACTGTATTCGCAAAATCATCATCCAAATTGGAAGAATCCATTGTTAATGAGAAAATATATTAAGAGTATTAATAGAATTATGGAGCTCAAAATTAGTTTGGATTTTTAAAGGTTTGTCAACAGAATGAGACTTTTTTCGAAGGTATTCGAAATTATTTAAACTAAGATAACAAATTACATATATGATTACTTTTCAGTTTCTCTAAATGACGGTTACACTGGTACCAAGGTATTGACATTTTTGTTTATATTTGATAGAAATTCAAATAATTCCAATCTTTATTCAAATAATTTGTGGTGGTAAGTACCTTGCATATAACGGTTCTGATTTCAAGATACTTACTTACTTATTTTGAACTCCAAACGACAGTGCCAGGCTGTTATACATATTCGCCGATTTCCAATCGCTCACGAAACCAAATCAGCTGTGCTGTTGATCTTGGCGTCCCAAAGCCCTAGGCCATCATCGTACCCAGCGGTGACATCTACGGTTCTGGTTCCACCGAAGCTCGGAGCCTCAGGTGCATTTTAAGTCCATATTGCAGAGATCTCAAGTTGAGTTGGGTGATCCGACGCCCAGTTGTCCATCAAAAAGAAGAGAAGGCGAATCAACGTGCTGAGAATTTTCCATCAATTTCTCCGTGCTGGCAACTTCGAACTTTCTATGTGCCCGTATTCACAAAAAATGTATATACACTGTTAAAAAGCCCGACTTAAAGTTCCTAATCGTTATAATTCATTTTTCGTAAAATAATGTTACAAAATATACTTAATTTATAAACTCATAATATAATAATAATATGTAATATATATTTATATTGATTTATGTAAAAATTTTTCCCTCTGCACCTGAGATACTCGAAAATATCGCAGAAGCAACGAGATAACCATGAGAACAGTTTATTTATGGGCTTTTGTCGCGTGAGTGCCACTTGTCGTGTTTTTGTTGTTGCTACTGCTGTACTTGCTGCAGTTGCTGTTGTACGAGTATTTGTTGTATTTGTTGTCTTTGCCCCCTTTTTTTGTTGCTGGGCTCGTTTTCTCGTTGTTCTCATTCTAAACAATGCAGCAAATGCAGCGTCAGCGGCTCTGCCAACGACATTAGCATAAATAAATAAATAACCGTACTAGCAACAAGCAAACGAGCGAGTAAATAACAAAATAACAACACGACCAGCAACATTAATCTGCGTTCCAAAAGCTTTCCGATGGACGTTCCATGGGCTTTTGTCCTCCTCACATTTTATAGCAGAAACCAAAAACACTTGTTTGCCTTCGTCGCCTAGCGGCACTTGCACTTCGTCGAGGTTTGGGGTGCAAGGGAATTGCCTACATACTCGCCCACACACGAACTAACCTAGGTACAGTGGTAAGAGAGTAAAGGAAAATGTAGGCTGAAATGCAATTTTGTTAAGAATTAAATTACAAACTTATCGAGATTTACCATTATTATTATAACCATTGTTTCTATTATTTTTGGGTATGTTCTTCCCATTTCCACTAGCTTTTGACCCACTGTGCCTAGGCCGTGCATTACAAAAGCTACACCTTCGCCTTTACCGTTAAATTAGCTTCCCCTGCGTGTTCACATGACGCTCTGTTGTTTTACTTTGTAGCCGCTTCTGCCGGCAATCAAATTGAGTGCAAAGCTCGGTCAAAGCCGAGTATTCGGACAGCAGGAAAGGTGTGAAGTGTGTGTGTGTGTGCTACGAATGCAAAAACGGTTTCGATTTTTGTTCAATTTTGTCCGTCCTCTGTTTTTGTCTCAATTTCGCTGGGAGGCCCTAACTTATTGCATTATTTATGTGCGAGTAGTACGAACGTACGTTTTTTTTCTGGGTTTCTCAGTAAGCCAGCCGTACGCACGCGGGCAGCACCAGAAAATTGTATAAACAAAACAGGCAGAAACAGAAAAAAAAACAAGTGTGAGTATCACCGGTGACAATCGCAAGTGCAGGGCTCTCTCTGTCTCCGTCTCATGTCTCAAGTCTCTAGTCTCTACCGCTCACACTCACCCAAAGTTTGCCCAGCCGGGGAAACAAACTCGGCGGCATTCTCAGTCAAACAACAAACGCAACTGAAGTAACAACGAGTCCGTAGTTTCGCGTACCGCCCCCAAAAAATAAAAGTGAAATTCTATTAGCCCCCCGCTGTCTGTCTCTTTTTGGTAAAATCATCGTGTAATATCAACGTGTATTTAGCTAGAAATCATCGAAATCAAAACGAATAAAATCCCACCCAAAAAGTTATGTTATTTGATTCCGTGGAAAAACTGTGTTAAGTGCAGTGCTTAATGTTCCAGCTGCGAAGGGAAGTGAGCGAGAGGTTTGGAGTCTGGGTGCAGCGCCTCCTCGTCATCGTCCTGCACCTTTGGCATCGCTCCAGCATGTCCTTCATTCGTCGTCGCCACGAGGCGTTCAAGTGGATTAAACGCCGACTGGCCAGGAGACGCTGTCACGTGAGTACACTGAAAGAAAAGGGGGATAAAACATTAAATGACGAAATGAGATCACTGCTTAATAATAGGATTCGTCATTTACTTGAACTTAGTCAATGCCAATGTGATAAATAAGGGGTAGTCACCTGATTTAGTGGGGGGATAGTCACACATTCCTGAGCATGTTTTAATATTTCTTATATTTCGATAATTCTTTTAGAAATTTTGAAATAAATAAACATTTATTTATAAATTTATTTTCTGGTATTAGTTTCAGGAATACCTTTAATCTAAAAACACATCTCAAGTCATTAATATTAATGACAAATAGTTACTATAATGAAATGCCAGCTTTCCATTACTTTAATACTTAGCACTTGTTAGAGAGTCAAAAAGTCCGTACTTTATTACTCTACGTACTTAGATATATATTTTTATGTAGTCTACTAATTATTCTTATTATATTTGCTTAAGAAATGAAAATGGTTATGCAAGGCTTACTAATTGACTGACCCATTAGGATAATATTTTTCCACTGCACAGCTCATCCTGCGTTAGATCCCAAGTGGGTCATCACTCCACCTAACAACCCTTAGATTTTAGCTGGAATTCAATTAAAAGTTATTCAGCCCGGCTGCAAATTCAATTAAATACAATCATTTCGGGTGCTTTCGGTGCAATTTTTAGCTAATTCTGGTTTTCCTGTGAATCGGGGCACAGCCGGTCGGATGAAGAAGGGTTAGAAAAGTTTCGCATTCGCGTGACTCGCTATAATTTCTCCATCAGGTTTTTGTAGTTTTTGTTTTTTTTTTTGAGTGGTCTGAGGTTAAGTTTCCCCTGACTGTCTGAGGCTTTGTTCCGTTTCCGTTTTCTGCCGGCTTTTGCCGGGTGGGTGTGTCCATCGACCTGCCAGAGACATAGGCTTGGTTCTACATCGTACTTAAACATGGCTATATAGTATAGTAGTTCATCCCCTGGCACCCAAAACTCCCCCAAACAGCAAACCGTTGGCGTTAAGCGATTATGGCTGTCAGGCTGAAAGGCACTTCCAGCCTGTTATCAATTCAAACAAACGCCAAAATGCCACAAATGTGAAAAATAACCGACCAAGCGACGAGGCAACCAAATTGTGCAAATCAAATTGAATGCCGTTTTATGAAAGTTGACTTTAGCTTTGGTGATTTTTTGGCAATTATTTGTAGTTGGCATTTGTGCGATTTCGAAATTTTTGTGTTTGTAACAATGCGGATCTCAAGCAGAGCACGTAGGGGTTAAGTTGAACGGCCCTGGCATATTAAAAAGTTTTCTAATGAAGCCATCGAGCAGCGATATGAGCCAATAGACTGCAGAATGGGTGTTTCAATTTTATGACATTAGGCGGGGTAACTTATAAACTTTATAACGAAATGGGTTAGCTGATAGGTTGACTAAAAAATAAATAAACGAAATAAAGTTTAACCAGAAATGCAATTCCAATTAGATTTGATATGAGATATGACATTAAAAATGCATTTACAGAGAGAGAACAAATAATCATTAGTAGTCATAAAAACCAGTACCAAATCACGAACTAGTGATTCACGATTACCCTTTCATTAAGCTCAGAAATTAATTGCTTTTAATTGATTGCGGAAATATTGATAGCTCTTACTCACAACCCAATTTGGAAAAAACTTTATTCTAATGCTCGTTGTTCGCATTACAAATGGAATATATATGGCAGACCCACCGGGAAGAGTACTTAATACCATATATTTATGGCCCCTTGGTACGGCCCATCTATATATTGTTTATCCCGCTGGCAAATGTTTATTCTCACCAACTCCGCGTTTTCAGCGAATGTGCAGATTTTGTGAAACTAAAGCGGAGTAAACACACTCATCGCGTGTTCCGATTATCGAAATCGCTTGGGGATCACGGATCCAGGAACCAAAAGGAACCCCAACCAAGCTCGTTAGCTGGTTTTCAGGAAAACCTGCGTCTGAGATCGTAAACAAATGTCTGTCAAGAGGCAAAGACAAAGTAGCAAACAAAATATATGGACAGCCCCAATATACTCGGACACACTATATACGAGAATTTTGCCAAGTTCAAGGCAGGAGTTGAAGATGTCTATATGATGCTTTGTCTTCACAATTATGGCAGAGGGATGGGCCGAAAACAAGGGCGGTGGCTATTGAGGGGAGCAAACAATAACATTGGTCACAAAAAACAGACCTCAGTCCCAGCCCGCCAGAAATACTGACTAAATGGAAGTGAATGCTAGGTTCATGATTTGGCAAGTCGAACTATGAGATACACTTCTAAGAGAAAACAATATTCTAACTTATTCGAGATGGAAAATATTAAATAATTTTTGGAAAAACTAAAGTATCAGCTTTTTAGAATATTAAATTAAAAGTTTAAAAGTTGAAAAAGTAATGAAATCTTATCTTAGATACATATGTCCTTCCGAAAATGAAGTTTTCCAATCTTTTAAGTAAATTTTAGATTCTAGCCTGAAGTCTTTCCCCTTAAAGCCTTATATAATTGGTCATTGTTTCCTTTACCGAATTTGAATATTTGTTATTTTCTGTCAGAAATTTGAACAATAAAATTGCCCAAAATCGTTCTTAGAAATATATGCAAAAATATGCAATTTCCAGATTGTATTCTAATGCAAGCCAGTGACCAAGCGCCTGTCAAAGTTGAGATATCCCTGGCCTTATCATTATAAATCACCGATAATTGTGGGTGTGTTGTGTTTATTGTTGTTGCCAGCCATTGATGTTCCGCGAGCGTTTTTCTGCCGGCCATTCAATCAGGCGGCTGAGTCAGCTGAGAGCTGGGCTCTAAGCCTAGGCAAAAATTCAAATAAACGAACGAACGACGTTCGCACGCATGGAAAATCATTGAAGCCTGCGATGGAAAATGGGCTTGGGTGTGAGTATCTGTGAGTTACACCCTCGATTCGCCGGGGCTTTTCCATTTCGCGCTCCGCTCATTTCAATTTAGTTGGTGCAAAGCGGCCGCCGCAAACGCTTTGAACTCGTTTCCCGGACAGACAAGACGGACTTTCGGGGTCTTGACGTTTTTTCCTATATTGATCTCTTCGACCAAATCAGTAAAGGAGAAAAAGAAAGAAAAATACGAACAAAATTTCCGCCCAGTAAAACAAAATTTGTGCGCGTTTTGATTTTTTGGCGCGTTTTTCATTTGTTTTGATTTCGCGTCTCTGAACCTTTCTGTCGTTGTTTCCCCCTCGTTGTGGCTTTAACTCTGGCTCTTTCCTTTAGGCCACACAACTATGTATTGATAAATTGCCAGCCGACGATTTCCGTCGTGACCCGCGCGTTATGCAAAATGCTCAAAATGTAAATAAATATTAAAATAATACACAAGATCACGAGAAGAAGGGGGAGCCGCTGTGTGCCACAGTGCCTTCCTTTTGTATGCGCCCAGCCTGTTGCCCCGTTGCCTGTTGCCTGTTGCCTTTGTTGGTTTAAGCTCGGCTCGGGGTTTCGGTAATTTTTTGCGCTTGTGCTGTGAAAAATGAAGTGAATCTGTCTGACCAAGTGAATCCAGACATTGCAACAATAATAATAATAACAATAATAATAATAAGGAATAATAATAATAATGCAAGCCGACAAATTTCCAAGTGCCTTTACTTTACTTTATTTATGAAAACAATAAACGCAACACAACAACAACAACAACAACGAACTACGCATTAAGCCTGGTCTTAAGCCCGAATCTGGATTTGCTGTGTGCCGGCGGTTTCCTGGCACGCATATAATTTGCATGTGGATATCGATCTTTATGACCGGAGACGCTTCGACGATGGCTTATGTAATCTGGAAAATATTCATGAAGCAATATGCCCGCCTGCGCTACGATCAGCCTTTACAGCCCCTCAGTCCGAAGTTGATCTGGCATTCGTACGCGGCCATTCAGACGGTGGGTCACTTTTTTTTTTTTATTTCCCCCTTTGCATTGGGGGTCACCACGTTACCAAGTTTCCCTGCCCTTTATTGATTTAAATTGAGTCATTTTTCTCCATTTTGGCCATCGGCCATGGAGGCATACAAAGTAATTGTAGATTAATGTGGCTAGTTTTAAGTGAGCGCTCAAGACGAGAGTTCATATTTTTCACATTTTCAAGTGTTTTCAGTTTTTTTGGGGGCGTGAAAGTTGATTTGTGATTAAACGGCGGCCAGTTCGTTAAGGGAAGTTGGCGAAAGTTTCAACATTTCATGGAATTTTGGGAACTTTTTTGCGAGCAACTGGTTTCTGTCAGGGGATCTTTAATACATGTGTGGGAATAATTTTAGCATTAATCATTGGTTTGAAGTTAGGAATTTAGAATCCTTAATTAACCATTTTCTGCTATAATAAATCCTCTTCTTAACACCTAATCACCAGCATTTTATGACCAGCTTAAGTAACAAGTTAACGATTTTACTTTTGGCTGGAGATTGGCAATTTCCGACACTGAACTAGTTCGATCACACCTCGATTGGCGTTATTCAATCAGCGGCCAGGGCACTCTACTTATGTTTGTCGATGTTTTCCTTGACATTCGAGTTGGGTGACAGTTGCATTTCCCGCCCATTAACGAAATACGATAGTGTACGCGGCTTAGGAAAAGTCAAAAGCGAAAATGCAAAGGAAATAGCCGAGATTTGGCGGCTCTACAAAAAGCGGCAGCCGAAAAAAAAACTAAAAAAAAACTGAAAAGCTGTTGTGGCGGCGCTGGATGGGTTTGGGTCTGAAAGAAATGGCTCCTTGGGACCGACCACTGACCAATGACCAGGGAGCCAGTGGACCACCAAACTAGCTAAACGGACTGTCTGCCCCCATTGATAATAACAATCGGGAAAAGTAAGAGATGCAATAATTCAACGTAAAGTGTTAAAATGTCGATATTAATTGCAGGCTGGCAGCAGCAATAGTAGTAGTTTAAGTAGTAGTAGTAGTAAATAGTAGTAGTAGTAGTGTAGTAGCAGGAGGACTACTATTCATGTGCTGGCCAATGGTCCCATCCCCCTCTACCCGCTATCGCATTTAAATAAATTGCGATTATGGCGCAAATGTGGCAGTCAGTGCAGCGATCTAAGCACTGAAAGAAATTTCTTAAGTTTTTAATTTTGAAAAATTCCCAAGGAACTATTATTAATCCCTATTCCTTATAGGCTTTGACTACTTTTCAGATTAGATAGATATAAATATATATATATAAGAAAAGCCAACATTTTGCTCAGTGTACTCCCGCCGCTGGTGCTGGTCTTGCACTTGGGTTTTCGATGGTTTTGGTGGTCCGATTGCCACTGCGACTGCAACTGCAACTGGCCGTGCGCTAATAATATTTATCAGTGGCTCATTTGTTGCCCGGACAGATGGACAGGTGGACGAGGAGCAGTGCATTCAATGGCCAATAAACCAAAAAAGCAAATAAAAAATGCAACTAGCAGGCAGCGGTGGCTAATTGCGCCGCCTGTTTGGTGATTTTGCCGCTGTTGGCTGGCTGGCTGGCCAATTCACAAATAGCTGGATGGGATTTGGGGATGGGATCGAATGGTTTGGATTGGGATAGATGGGGGCTGTGCATCCGTTCGCTGCTCGCAACTCGTCAGCGTCTCAGTCTCAGTATCAACTTCAATTTTTAGTTTTCGGTTGCCGTTTTCCAGCCACATTGTTCACTGCATCCCCAGCCATGCATATTTATTTATCGCAGCGCGGCCTGAGTTTTGCATTTTAACTAGAAATCATGCAAAAACGCCGCAACATGCAATGGCAATGAATGAAAAAAAAAAAGAAACAGACGACGACGAACGGCTTTCAAATCGAATCTCCAAAAGCTGTTAAATGCAGTTGAGATCGATTTTCCCTATGTTTTTCCTCAGACAGAGACGGCAACGGAGAGCGAGAGACATGGAAATCTGTTTAATATTTTCCCGCGCACTCACGCACGACGTGGGAATTTTTCAACTAGCGAATGCGAATGCGAGTTCGTCTTCGTCTTTGACTGTGAAATGCAACTCAAAACTGAAAACTTAAAAACTGAAAAACTCAAAACTGCGAGGAGGCCGAAACATTGAACCTTTCATAAACCTCCGACCATTGGCAGGGGCTGTTATTCAACGCACGAGATGCAAATTTGATATAGGAAATGGGTTTTGTAATCGAATAAACCGATCTGACCTATAAGTGGAAGGAAGTGCAATGGTCTTGGGTTGGCTAAAAGTGCGGGATTGTTAAATAATAATTTGGTTTATGTTTTAGAGTTATGACAGCTCAGTTAGCTCTTGATTTCCGTAGTTTATACTTAACCCTGAGATTAATAATCAATATTTATAGTTACTTACTTATCCTTTAACAATTTGTTTTATAAAGCCATCAAAATGAACTTTATTACATGTTTATTTATCGAAATAATTTACGAGTCCCATAAAAATGCTTTAAAACAGCAAACAAAAAGAAATTGTTCATTAACATCGAATATGTCTGGCGAATAAGAAAATCCTGGCCATTAAATACGATTATTATTTTTATGTTTTCGTATATTTTCATTCAGCCTCCACCTCGCAATGCAAATGAATTTTCCAATTGGCCACCCCCGCCAGCTTACCTGTTTTCCTGTCCAGTTTTTCAGTTTCTCTTTCTTTAACCTTAGTCCGGGGTTAGGACAGCCCATTAACGACACGCATTCACAGTCATTTTCAATTTCTTGCCGCTGTCACTTTAATTTGGGAGCAGTGGCAGTTCCAACCCACGCATTTTTATACTTTTTTTTTTACATACTTTTACACACACGCACGCACTCTCTCTGCTCAAAGTTGCAATTTTCCACACCTACACAAAGTTTGCTAAATGCCTTTATAAGAAATAAATTGAATTTTATGCTGTTATCAGCTGTTAAATTTGAGTCTTTGACGGTTTTTCATTTTTTTTTACTTTAATTTTAAATCAAAATAAAGAAATTTGTTTGTCTCCTTAAAGAAAGAACTTTTGAAATGAATAAAGGTCACATTAATATATGTATATTTAAAAAATATTAGCATATATTTATATATTTTTTCTGGTATTTTTCTTTTACCAAAGACCAAGTCACACTGCGGCGCCAATCTCCAACGGTTAAGTCAGTCGTCTAACAAATTAGTTACTGACGCAATATTTCTGTGTATCTCTGCGCTATCAAAATCACACGCAATAAATTTAATTTGTTTTGTGGGCAGAGGCAGTGCGTCCAAATGGCAATGGCAATGACAGTTCCAACTTTTTTGGCTTTTAGGCTACAACTCCAGAGCCAGCTCGAACAGCTCCTCCGCAGGTGTTTAGATTGCCGCCAGAGTAGGTTGTCCAATTAATAAAAAGAAAACGCAGTCATAATGTTTTGATTAACACAAATGTGACAAGAGATGCATAAAAATTAATTTCCAATCTTGTACGAAGTCCACTAAATCAACGAAAAGGGGAGTGGATAGTGGTGGATGACCGATTTCGATTTGGGTCACAGCGGCGTTAGGTGAAACTGTAGATGCGTGAGAGAGTGCGGTGGATGGGATTCGAGAGATCGGTATATTTTAGATACATAGCCCCAAGGTTGTGCTGTGTGCTGTGTCGGTGCAGTGAAGCGACCTTCCTTTAATGGCTTGTCCAGCCAACTAGTGCAACATTTTCGATTTCCTTTTGACGCGCGGCCATAATTTGAACAGCGGGCTAGCCAGCTTGCCAGCTCAGCAGCTCACCAGTTCCAGCCACCGTCCGACCCACTGCCCAAGACTCACGCACCACCGCCGACAAAACGCCCCCGGGCGGGCCAAACCCATTCCAAACTGAGGCCAAAAAACAAAACCACAGCCAAAAGCTAACCAAACCAGACCAGCCGGGGCAATTAATTGATGAGCAGTGGTCGGCACTTGGTCAAGAGTTGGCATGACAGCAAATTGCATTTGCCTCTGATTCTGCCTTTTTCTCTCTCTCTGATCGTGCGTGCCACTGCCATGGCCACTGGGCAATGATCTTTAAGCGGTGGTGCCAGAATCATACACTTAAAGAAACAGAAAGTCAAGTTTATGGAAAAATGTATGTATATTACTTATTAATACTATTATTATCGTTTTAAAAATTGTTCATAATAGCAAATTTTTAAATTTAACACTTTTTTGGCAACTTTTTCTCTCAGTGTTTGGCCCAAAAAGAAAATATTGATGATATATTTATTGGTATTTATTGGCGTCGCTTCGGCCGCACTTCAAAAAGCCCGGCCTGAACAAATTGTGGAAATTTATAAGCTTCGACAACACAAATCTGTGTCTCTGTGGGCCCGTACTTACAACAATAATTTGGTGGGGGGCGGTTAGGAGGGGGGCCCTCGCCATTCATTGAGCCTGCGCAGGCGCCGCAGGGCGACATCTGGCGGCCAGCGCTGGCGCTCTAGACGAAGACACGAAGGACCAAAAAGCTGCAGGCAGGACTTGCAGAGCTAGCCACATTCCTTGGCCAAGTTAGTTGCTAGATTCGTTTGGGCGTGGAAAGGCGAGTGAGTGGATAATGGGAAAATAAATGAAAAACTCCCGGCATTGTCACATTGTTGGCCAAGACCAAAAGTATTTCGATTCGGTGGCAGCCTAAACATGCCAGGCTTTTGTGTTATTTTTGTTATGGTCAAAGTTTGGCTATTTGGCTATTTGCTAGGCCGCATACCCATCCCAAAATCCCCGAATCCACTTTCACTGCGAGTGTGTGTTTGTATCTGAAAGAAAGTGAATTCTACTGTGCTACACTTGACCTATGACAACGACAACTGTGGCAGCAGCAGCAGCTGCGGCAGGGGCAAAAACAACATCCCCAAACTAACTACCAACTAACTGGAAACGAACGTTTGACGTTTCATTTGATTGTCATGCGATGGCTGCCCCCCTACTTGCAGTCGCACTCCCTTTCCCTAGTCTTGTCTCTCGGATCAATGCTGTCCCCAATTGATTTCTGTTTAACTTTTAACATGCAACAAGGCGGACCATGCAGCAACCCCTTGCGTCCCTCTAAGTAGATGGGTTTGGTATGCGAAAGTGGATCGAATTTGTGGAATTTTTAGTTTGTGTTTTAAGATCTATGTACTAGTATATTGCCATAACTAAAGGCTGTCCTTATTGCACTTTTTATTTATTAAATTAAATAATAAAAATAGTCTTAAACAAGAGCTTGCCACATCGATTTGTCCCACTGTTTGCCACTGTTGCCGTTGGCAACCGAATGAATTGTGTTTAATGCGGCTCTTTGCATTGCCTGGGCCTAGGCCTCCGCCTCTGCCTCTGCATGTGCCGAGCTAAAGAACTTTGGCCCATTTGAAATGCGGCAATTGTGTATCTGGCGGATACACAAGCGCACTCTGAACTCCACACGTGTCTGAAATCTTTCCCTCTGCATTTTTTCCAGGCTGACACGAACATCGAGGCAGGGCTAGCAGAAGCAGCTGTTTCTGGTTCAGGAGCAGGAGCAGGGTCGGAATTTGCCGAGATCTTGGTGCCGAGTGACACGCAAATCGATGTTCCTGGTGGGGGAGGGCAGATCCCAAACCTAGACTTGACCACTGACAGGGACATGAAAGAGGCCAAAGCAGCGCCCATAGCTCGCGACGATGAGGATCAGGAGGCGGAAGAGGATCCAGTGGAGGAGCTAGAGGACGAGGAACCTCCAGAGGTGGAGCAGCTGTCCGCGAATGCTAATTATGTGTGCTGTCGATACCCGGGAACGACAACCTCTACCTCTGCCGCAGCAGCAGCAGCAGCAGCAACAACTTTGAACCGCAGCAAGTCGCGGGTTCAAAAGTACCTCAAGAAGTGCAAACAGCGGCTAACGGGTCAGCCCAAGGTTCCACCTAGCTGTGCCACCACCACAACCACGACCACTATAACCCTGATCAGGAATGGGCCAGCACCCGCGACGAACGAAGAGAGGGAATCCGAGAAGGAACTGGGTGAGTTGGAGATTCTGGCTGAGGAGGAAGATGAGGATGAGGATCTGGTGGAGGGCAGTACTGGGTCCTATACGGATGCCCTGCCCATCGACTGCAGTTTGAATGCCAGCATTGCCGAGGAACCACAGCAGGCGGTCGACGAGCTGGAGCCGCCAAAGGGGGAGGAAGTCCCTATGGAGATAGAGGTACGTAATCACACTGAGAAAAAATCTTCCCTGACTAGTTAGTTTACATTTTATATTTATTATGTAATTTCCTGATGTTTTTTCCTCTGTTAATGGAACCTTCATCAACTTAACCCCACCCTCAGAGTATCCCCGATGGAATCCCTGCGCCAACGCGACTACCCGCCGATGTGGACGCCACGCTGGCCCAGCTGATTGACAGCCATCTGTCGCACATTTATCCCGTCTACTGGGCACGCACGCGTGCGATTTTAATCCGTCAGGCACGTGAGCAACTCGTGTGCGGATTCGACGGCAGTTTGGCCCGCTTCGAGCAGCGATTCCTATGCAAATTTGCTCAAATTGCCACAGATCTGCGCACGGCCCATCAAATTGGCGAGGTAAGTCCTAGTCCATAAAGAACTCCAAAGGAATCCGAGCCAAAAGATATATCATTTACAAGGCAGTTAAACTTGCAGCAGGCGAAATTAACCGCAATTTATTGTTGACGACTCTCCCCCGGAATGAAGTTCTTTAAACGCAGTTAAATAGTTTGCTTTGGTCTGTCCGCCGGGATAGGAGGAGAAATTGTTGGGTAACTGCAGCGGAAAATCGTTGAGGAAATTGGGGAATCATCGGGAGGCGATCATCAGGCGATAAGTGTTCTTCGAAGCAAATGGTTTGGTGGAAATCTTAAGGGTGGAGCTGCTCGTGACTTGCAATTTGGCCAAAGGGTTTTGGTTAATAGAGCTCTCAATAGGTAGTTTAATTAAAAGAATTAAAGTTGGATTAGGATTTAAGAACTACGATCTGCTTAAATCCATTTTAAGGTTTTATGTAAGATTTAAATTCCGAGAAAAGTTGGTGGAGCATCCTCTTTAAAAAGTACAAAAACTTGCACTTATTGCTTGGTAATTAATTAAAGTGATAACCCAGTAAGGCAACCACATCCTATAACATATTATTGAACTTCAATCTGCTCACATTCCTTGCCATTGCAATTAATCTTTCGCGATTATATCACCCACACTCGCCTTTGGTTTTCCTTATCAGCCAGCCAAAGTCAACAGTAAAGGAATGTTTTCAGGTCCTCTTCTCGAACGAAGAGTATCTCGTGATTCATACAAATAATATTTAAAGATAAATATTAATACTTTAACTTTTAATCTGAGCTTTTTCTTTTTATTTTAATTTTTCTTACTAATTCTAAGGCAAACTGCGTTTCAAATTCCGCCAATAAGCTTAACATTACAGCTGCTGCTAGTGCAGCCCTGGCAGTCGCTAACAGTCTCTGTACAAACTGGTCAAAAGTAACAGAGCGCGCTAGCAGCGCAGCAGCTGTTAGCTTGCCGAAGCACTGTTAACGGGCCTCTGCTTCGGTTTGCTGAAATCAGTTGAATATTTGAACTCGCGACGCGCAGTCTTGCAAGCGGCAGAAAGCGACTGACTTGCCCCCAAAAGTAGTAAAACCAAGCGACTCGAAGACGAATTATCTGAGAAGTAGTTAACCAAAAGTGACCTAAAGTGCAACCTAACCAAATTGGTAAATTCGTAGTTTCGAAGGATCGCTCAGTTTTTCGGGGTCTAACAGAGAGTGTGCCGAAAGAAATGTGCAAAGTATCGGTGAATTAACATGCTAATAAATCGCAAAATCGCGACAGAGTGATGCCCGACTAGTGCCTGCAAATACGTTATAAAAGTGCCTTAATGTGTGATCTTTTTACAATCTGCAAGAAATAATCGTAAAAGTGCGAATCAGCTTTGAATCTATAAATATATACATATATATATATATTATATCCAAGTGCCACATATCTCCGACTAGAAGTTATCACTTTATAGCCATCACATCAGCGTAAATCAGAGGATTTTCTATTGCCAAATAGTTTTGAGGTAATTTCTGGTTTCACATTTTATTAGCTGAAGTTCATTATCATTTATGGCCAATAATTGTTGAGTGTCTTGATGAGTGTGTAGTGGTGTGCTGCTGGGTAGTGTAGTGTAGTTTAACCCTCACCTCAGGGTTCATTAAAAATCAATTGTTTTCCACTCGCATTCGCATTCGCATTCGCACTCGCAATTTGCATACTTATTACACACGGTCAAAGACAAAAGTCATGAAAAATAAAAGACTAACCACGGAAGCGTCCTTCGGGTCAGCCTACGCTTTTAAGACTTTGTTAGAATCGTTTGCCTTAAGTCGCCGATAGAGACAGAGAGAGAGAGGTCTTTTTTGTTAACCATTTCAATGACAAAGCTGTGGCAAGTGTGGGTTGTTGCGTTGCCCCCTTCTAAATCGAATTGTCAGAGGTTCTGGGTCCACTTATCAGTTCCCCAGCTCCATTCGCAGTGTAATTTATAATCATTTTCGTAACGCATACGCACTGTGCAGCATGTGGCAGTGCTGGGTCCGTGGGAGGCAGCTCAAAAAATGGCTGTAAAGTGCTCGGCGTGACCCACTTAAGCTCAACCACATAAACTTATTTGAATCAATCAGCTACAGCGCACATTTGCCGCTGATTTGGAGTCGTAAACTTGCGGGCATCTGGTTGACCTGTGGCAACTCGATTCGCAGTTGCATTTGCAGCTGCCTCTGCCTCTGCCTCTGGTTCAGCCTCTGCCTCTGCCTCTGCCTCTGCATGTTAATTGCTATTTAATTTGTGTTCTGTGCCGCCTCGAAACTCAATGGAAGTTGCGTCGAGTTGGTTATTTATTTCTTCTTCTCTTTTTTTTGTATTTTTTATTTTTCATTCTGTTTCCAAGCGGGGCACGTTCTGTAATTTAAATCGCCTTTGTGCGCAGACGCAGCAGCGTACTCATCTGTAGAGCAGCCCAGCTGAAGAGCAAGTACTTTATAGGGTTTTGTTTGGTTTTGGTTTGGCTTGGTTTTATTTTGTTTCTCCCCCTTCACCGATCCGCCAGCGGAAATTGTGTATTAAGTGTTGTTCTCCAGCAAAGGGAGCGATGGGGTAAGGCCTTACCGTCTGCTAAACAGATTCAAACTTAACTTCAAATATTATGCAGAGAGCAAAATGTGTCAGAGGTTCTCTTTTTGGGGTTATTAGAAAGGTTTTGTGTTCGTAAATAGGTTGGTTGATGTGTTAGAAGGAAGAACTCTATCTAATACCTTTTCATCTTTAATATATCTTTGGTTTTAAAGGAGATTGTAATCATAAACTTCATAAAAGGCAACCCTTTATATAAGAACACAGGAAAAGTTCTTCAAAACAGGAAAGAGATTGTTCTTCTATAACCCATTCCTTGTTACAAATCCCAGAACCATTTTCCAAGGCGTTCTTACTCAATCTCCTCAAACTTCATTAATTCACAACATTTCTTGCCGTGTAATTGAGAATCTCTGGACACGGCATATCACTTAGCTGAACAGCAATTACGATTAGGAGAGCAGCAGCAGCGCCAAGAGTGAAAAATTGTAGAAAAAAAAAAAATGGGCAGTGAGTGGCTGCTGTGCTGCTGCTGCTTCCGAGTTGCATTTGAAACGGGCCATCAATCCAACGGCAGATCTGTGCAATAATTTGCAGAAAAGTGCTTTGAACTGTGTTGAACACAACATGATCGGCATTTGTTAGCGATAATGAATTGAACATTTCTGAAAACATGTTTGTACATAATTTGTATGCAGGCTCTGGGGGCCGCCACAGCTCATGGACCCAACTTAGGAGTTGCTGTTGTCCGAAGACCATGGCGTCTGCCATGTGTCTGGGTGTCTGAATGTCTGGATATTTGTGTTGGTCTAACTAAGAGCATCTGGCCAAGGCATTTGCGGTTTGTTTTTGCCCGCCTATAGGGTGGGGGGTAGGGGGAGGGAACTGTGCAAAGTGTAAAGTGCATATTTATGGCTTGCATAAAATAACTTGTAAAATTCACTCACTCCCTCGTCTGTTTGTCTTTCTCCCTCTCTCTCTCTCTCTCTGTGTGTGTTCATGTGAGTGCATTCGCCATTCGAACACGTGTCGTTTGAAGTGACTATCTATATAGATATATATACACAAAGAGAGAGAGAAGAAAAAACATATAGCCACACGATCGCCGAGGAAGTCGCTGTTCAGGATATGGATGATATGTGACTGGACTCGGCAATGAGCAAACATTCGAAATAAAAGCCCCGCTATGGACATTATTATGCAGCAAAAAGCTGCACAGTTTGCCCATTATTTTGACAGAAATATGTGGCATGGCGTAAAGATAACGTTTGATGGGTCAATGAGCTGCAGTTAGAGAACTGATTCTTGGGGGGGAGATCATTACAAAGATATCTTTATTATGGCTAGGCTATAGGCAATGACTAAATTAGTTAGAATGAATTAATAATCAACAGGTCAATGAGCTTGATTTGTCTGGCGTTAGAGTAATGGCTTGTTGGAAAAGTTGCAAGTCTTAAAAGGGTTTTGTTTGTTTATTTTTAGCACTTTTTCCTTGTAAACCCCTGCCCAGGAACCTATCTTTATGATACTGTCATAAAACCCTCTCTGGGTGGCTCTAAAAAAGATAGTTTTTCCCCATAGATTCCATTCCTTGGAATGTCTGGCAATCCATTTTCTCCTTGCTTGAGCCAAAAAAAAAATAAATGCCAACAATTTGCCGCGTAATGTTAACAATTATTTAGCCGGCCAACTCTGCAGCTACACATTTGCCACTTCATTATAAAATACTTAGTCATAAATGCTGTCGCCCCGAACAAAACAAAGCTCCCCTTGCCTCGCCACCCCCCTCTTTGAATTCCCTGCCATTAGCAATCCAGCAGATTGAGTTACAAGACGCGTGTGTAAGTCTTCGGATGAGGTTCGCTCTTCACTGTGGTGAATCCAATTCGCACTTAGGGAAAAGTATATAAAAGTTTATTTAATTTAAGATTATTCAGAATGATATCTCAAATATATCTTACAAGTCCTAGAACTGTTTTTTAATAACCAGAAAATCACAAATTTCTAAAATATTCTTTATAATCTTTAAGATTATTAACCTTAAGCCTTGAAATAAATATTTAAAAATCTAAAACAAAACGAGAAGCCACCTTTTATGCTCCGTGCATCCCCAAGACTTTTGTATCTCAGCTGGCAGCTGGCAATAGATACGAATGCATCCAGAAGATAGCCTTGAATAATTCAAGCGCGTGTGACTCGCTTAGTAATTAACCCAGCACAAAAGCCGCAGGCGCAGGCCAGCGATGAGTCGCGGTTTGGCTTGGCTTGGCTTGGGTTAGGGATTGGGATTGGGGATTGAGAACCATATAGAGAAGGTGGAGTAGTGGAAACGGGGCTGGGGCAGGCACGTCAAGTGGCAGACACCGAATCCGTAGCCGCGGCGCTCACAGAAACACTCATGCATATATGGATACTTTTGTTCCTTTATTTTTTGTGTATATATATATATCGCCGTG